CCCACTCCCAGCCTTTTGGAGCAGTAAATTACTCTTGGCTTTGAAAAACATGCCTGGATGACACATACATGATGGCCCCCGGGAGGGGCCGAGTCTGGATGTCTGTGGGCAGACAGAGCCCCAAATGTGGTCAGGGCCCCCAGTGAAATCTCCGACCGAGATTTCCTCGGCACACACAGTAGCGGCCATGCCCCTGAGGGCCACTGGGGAAGGGATTCTTCTAGTTGGTTCTATGGAGCTCCAGTGAGGCTCCCCCAATGGGGGGCAGCCCCCACCAGCTGGTGGGAATACTAAAGCAATGACTGTCCACTATGGAGGCCATTGTCCCCCACACAAAAACTGACTGCTCACAGTTCTGCTGCTGCCGGGAGGCGGCTGATGCTGGCGTCCAGCGCACATCTACTTCCCTCCAGGTGGGACACGTTGTTTTTGGAGCTCTGCCAAGCTCAGGATATATCTTTTTCCTCAACCTGGCTTTCCCTACTTCCGTTCAGGTGTATGCTCCCTTCCCCCCTCCCAGCCCCCGCTCAATGAAGTTTCTGCTCACAATTCTCCCCCCAGAACACCCAAGCAAAGTGACTTTCTCGTTATGGCCACCATTCTTCTGTTAGCTTCATGATGCACAGTATGAACCTCACCCTAGAAAAGTGACTGGTGTGGTTACAAGGGAAATGTTAGATGAAGTTTTAGACCTAATCTAGCAGTTCCGGGATGCCTAAGGAGACCAACAGTATCACAAGTGACAGCACTTTGTGGCTCTCAAAACTGACTTACTCCGGAAGTAACTTGAAAGGTGGATTGAAAAGGATTCCACGTAGCACGAACAGGAGGCACACCAAGAGACTCAGCCCCGGGGCATGAGGGAAAGTTGGAGAATGGACACACAAAAGGAGAGGTGAGGAAGACTTTCCTATGAGATGAGAGACGTTTGTTTAATTTCCTGGATTACTTCTAAATGGTTTACCAAAAAAAAAATCCACATCTGTTCATTTACAGCAAAGCCTTTGTAATTAGAGAGCTAATGGCCTCCGGGGGACCGGAGGATGGCTATAGATCTGTGCAAAGAGTTAAAGCACCTGACTCGAGCATGCTTTGGGAAGCCCCACCTGTGTGTACAATGTACTTAAGGGATTAAAGCACACTTTGAAATTATGATCTGTTGTACCTAGAGCATGCACCTTACTCTTTAAGCTTCTATTTCCTTCAAGGAGGAGAGGGAGGAGGAGAACACCAATTTTCCTAGCTATCAGGTGCACAGGCTTGTGGGCTTTGCTGAAGCTTTAAGTGCAGAGGGATGAGAGATGTGTGAGTTGCACATTTAATTTTAACATGATAATACAACTTGCATCCCATGCTTGTGATTCCATTTCAGAGATGTCACTCAAAAGAGGCCTGTTTGGGGTCTGGATGCAAATGATTGTGTGTGTGTGTGTGTGTGTGTGTGTGTGTGTATGTGTGTGTGTATTTGTCCTGGGACTTGAACTCAGGACTTGGGCAATGTCCTTGAGCTTTTCTGCTCAAGGCTAGCACTCTACCTACCACACTCCACTTCTGGCTTTATAATTAATTGGAGATAAGAATCTCATGGACTTTTCTGCCTGGGCTGGCTTCAAACCAGGACACACAGATCCAGAGTAGCTAGGAATACAGGCATGAGCCACTGGTGTCCAGCTGCAAGTGAGTTTTTTTTGAGAGATGCTGGAGTAAGAGGGTCAGTGTAGAGCATTATAGCATGGGGGGCCTGGGGGACACTGGGATGTCTGTGTTTTCCATGCTTCCTTTAAAGTCTCCCAGAAAGGTAAGTAAATATTCAATGGACTTGTCTTACACAGGATGTTATCTGGGGCTGAAGCTGGTGATTCCTAAAGTGAGGCTTGAAGTGTATTCTCCAGCCAGGTGCCAATGGCTCAGGCCTGTAATCCTAGCTACTTAGGAGAGTGAGATCTGAGGATCGTGGTTCAAAACCAGCCTGGGCAAGGAAAGTCTGTGAGACTCTTATCTCCAATTAACCACCAGAAAGCTGGAAGTGGTGCTGTGGTTCAAGTGGTAGAGTGCTTGCCTTGAGCCAATGAGCTTAGGGACAGCCCCCAGGCCCAGGGTTCAAGCCCCATGACCAACAGAAAAAAAAAAAAAGGAAGTGTCTTTTCCATCTTCTTGACTTCCCAGGAAGCCGGGTGGGCCCATTTCTAAACAAAGGACCTTCATCAGCTAGCCACTAAAGTTGGGGCTTTGAATGGTTTGAAGGCCCTAGCGTGGCAGATGGGTTGAGGATGGGAGACTATGATAGCCAGAAATATATGTTAAGTTAAATGACACACAGTTTCCAGGAGTCTGAAAAAATCACACATGGATGTGTCTAGTAATGACATGGAGATTTTATTTTTAAAAAATGCTCATATGTTGCAAAAATACATAGAAAAATAGAATTTGATGGGGCACTTTGCTCAACATGAAGTCACAGACTTTTTATGGTACAGCTCAGAGTAAGGTTCGTTAACTCGTTTATGAAACAGGAGAGAAATAGGTAAAATAATCCAGAGCACCACCATTTATTCACCCCACAGAGACCGAGGGATGAGTTCTTTAACACGCGTTCCTACCAGTTCAGGTGTGAGTGGACTACTTTCAATGGGTAAAGAGCAAGAGAAATTCATAAGTAATTTTAAACACCACTTCCCCCACCCCCCGCCCCAATACAATCTGCATCCCAGTAAAAGTATTGAATCCTGACAGAACTGCAGGATTTAGTGGTGGGGTGGGGGAACTGAATAGGAATTTGCCCCTAAATACTAGTCTTGATAAAAAGTGTCCACAGGAGAAAACAATTGGGGCTCCTGTGTCTTTTGCGAGTTTTACATTGCAAGGTGGGGCTCAGCAGCACAGGGTACCGAACAAATACTTCACCACAGAGCCTGAGCCATAGAAAAAGGGGGCAAAACCTGCCAACTTTCCATCAGCTGACTTTGGGCAGTAACAATAAACTGCCCCTGTTAAGGGGAGGAAAGTGCAGGTTTTTCCCTCACATAGATTTAAGTGGTGGAATGGAGACTTTGTAGCCTTGGGGAACTTAACTTGCTAGTAAAGTTGTAGGTTAGTTCCTGATGGGTAGAAATGGATGATCACCCACATTTCTTTTCTGCTGGCTGCTCATTCTTTTTAAAATCACGAGGCACTGGGCACATCCCCAAAGCATTTAGACAGTTGGCTTATCTGGTGATAGACTACAATAACATTGTGTTTTTGGGGGGTGGGTGGGTAGATTTCTTTTCCTTAGCCTCTTCCTGCGAAGTGTTCTCAGCCCTCTTCACTTGCTCTGTGATCTGGGCTGACCTCCCTCAGCAGGACCCTCCATCTCCTCTGGAGACCTCCAGGGCACCTACCTACTGGTTCTTCATCTGACACTATGTTCTTGCTTCCACGTGGAAACCCTTCCCTCTTCCCTCTGCCTGCAGAGATCCCCAGGGGTTCTCAGACTTTGAACAGTAACAACACAGCTGGCAGAGAATCCTATAAAAGCTCCACTGACCTCTTGAGCTGTCAGGTCTTTAAATAGGATTTGCGATTTAATGCTGTATATTTTTAAAGGGAAGAAATAAAGGAGGCTACTTTTTTTTTAATATGTCTTTTGACCAATTCAAAGTCTGCTCCTACTTTTTTTTAAGTCCAGGAAAGATAAAGTTTTTAGAGGGGGAAGGGAGAAAACAAGAAAGCTCAGGCTCAGGTAAAGAAGGCTGGATTGAAAGAGAGCCTGCCTATGTGTGGTCTTTTTAGAAAATAAACAAACAAAAAGAATGGAAGGAGAGGCCTTACCTCCCCTAACTGTCATCTCTGTCAGAATGTAGTATAAACTCTAGCCTGAATCCTGGTGCTTGTGGCTCATGGTTGGGATTCTAGCTACTCAGGAGGCTGAGATTTGAGGATCATGGTTCAAAAGCCAGCCCAGGCAGAAAAATCATGAGACTCTTATCTCCCACTAACCAGAAAGAAGCCAGAAGAGGACGTATGGCTCAAATGGTAGAGCACCAGCCTTGGCAAAAAGCTAAGGGCAAGCACTCTGGCCCTGAGTTCAAGCCCCAGTACCAACACACACACACACACACACACACACACACACACACACACACGGCCCTAGCCCACACACACACACACACACACACACGCACACACACAGCCCTAGCCTGAAATCTCCAGCTAGGGCAGAGAGGATTGGCAAAGGTCTTTTCAGTTTTTACTATAAAAAAAGGCAATGGCCCTGGCTTGAAGCACGGAGACCCTCCTCAGCCCTTCCTTGGACAGGTGGAGAGGCTTTGGGTATGGCCCCACCCCCTTGCAGTCAGCTCTGTTTATACAGCTTGTCTGTAAAACTCACGGTGAGTGCATCTTGTTCTACTTAGGCCACCCTGTAAATACTTCCACTGGAAGGCTACTGAAAGAGGAACAAGAAGCTGATGCTCTCACCCCCAGCCCCCCCCCACCCATGTGTCCCTTGCCAACCTGCAGAGCATGATAGGTTTTTTTGAGACCCTCTATTCGCCCTCACTTTTATAAGGACAGAGAGAAACCCTGGCCATGTGCCAAGGCCAACAAGAAGCTTTTGAACTTCAGTTTAATTCAGTAGGTGACATCTGTGTCTTGGCTGCCCTTTCTCCCTTTAGGCTGGCTTTTTTCAGCGTAGATAATCAATCACCCAAGAGATGGGAGCTGCTGCCAGCTCAGGAAGGGGTGTAGATGGCTGTTCACCCAAAGTCATGCAAAAGCACTGACAAAAGCCTGGATTTCCCATCTTTCCCCTCCAAACAGGGAGGTCACAGAGGTGACCTACAGTATGTCCAAGGGGAACCATTTAAACACTAAGCGAGTCACTGGTCCACCATAAAGGACCACCAGCAGGCTGGGGGTGCATAGCTCTTTCTCCCCAGCTCTCCCTGACCTCAGCCCCCCTCACTTTCCTCGGGGGACAGACAGTTTGGGACCATCCACGGTTGGCATCTCAGCTGGCATTACCAGAAAGTAGGGCTCCAGCTGCCCAGACAGTACAGGTAGGGGTAGTAGGGGTAGGTGTTGTACACAGAGACCAGGGAGGCCCGAGAGAAGCCCTCTTCTTTGAGGGCTGGCATGGAGGAAGGCTTCTCTAGATCTCCCAGGTCGGCAGAGAGCTGCTTTCGCTTCGTCTTATAGCGTCTGTTCTGGAACCATATTTTCACTTGGGTCTCGGTGAGCTTGAGGTTCTTGGCCAGGTGAGCCCTTTCAGGGGCTGACAGGTACTTCTGATGGCTGAACTTCCTCTCTAGCTCGATGACCTGAGTGTGGGAGAAGGCGGCTCGAGATCGCTTCTGTGGCTGCCTGGTGGCCTGGGAAGGGCTTGGTAAGGCGCCCGAGGTACGCTCACAGCCCAAAAGATAAGTCTCAAAATGCCTATCTGGAAAGAGAGAGGGGAGGAGGGTGGGAGGGGGAAACGTTACATGACAGCGTGGAATTCCATCCACTGGTATCTCTTCAGGGAGTGAACCAACAGCCCACAGTTATCTTAGATACACTGCACTATTTTCGCATGAGTCAGAAGCTCTCCGGAGTGAGGAAGAGAGCATTCATATATTATGGCCTCTCATTTTCTGGCGATCAGCAAGAATCAAAGTTTTTTGGTTTTTGTTTTTTGGTGAGAGATTTTTTTAAAAATCTATTTTCAAGGCGTTGTACAAAGAGGTTTCAATTCAACATATCCATTTGTAAAGCGCAATGCATCTTCTAAAGGTTTGTTTTTTTTTTCTCTGTCTCAATTATCCTTCAGTTGAACAAAGGGATTTCAAGTCAACATACTAGTTTGGGAGTACATTGCATCTTGATCGGTGTCATCCCTTTCCAACCCCCCCCTCCCCTCAACTTACCGGGTTCCCTGTGCACCGAATACTCGGACTGCATTTGTCCTCCTCCCTTCCTCGTGTCCACTCATCTGCCTCCTCCCCCTTCCCCGCCCCCCTGACCGGCTCTGGGTCATCTTGTGGAGGACACGTTGGAATGGGGAGTCTGGCCTGGATGTCTGGAGGGGAGGGGGGAGCAGGGGACAGGGAGGTGTAGAGGAGGATGCCAGGGCTGGGGGGAGGTATCCAGGAGAGGCTGGAGGGCGCATGGCCAGTTCCTTCTCAAGCTGTAATCACCGACCCTCCCTCCTGTCCCCCCCCCCAAAAAAAGAGGAATAAGGTTGCTGCGTGCAAAACGATGGCAAAGGAAGCGAACTCTAAAGGTCCCCACGGCGTTCTTCCTCCGGAAGACTCGAAGCGGCACCCAGATGGGACTTTTTAGGGCTCCTGGGGCGGAGCAGCAAAGGAGAGTCTGTGCCCTTCATCGCGGGCCGCCCGGCTCTGGGCTCCTGGCGCTGGGGTTCGGGATTGATCCCGGAGGCGCGCGCGCGCGCGCGCACGCGTCCGGCCACGGCTGGGACCAGGGGTCCCTCCGCCTGCACCCGCGGGCCCCGCGTCCGTGCACCCCGACCTCGATCTC